CATGCCTCCACATAAATTAGTATTAAAAAGATTCCAGCCAATTATGTGTCTCAGAAACATCAACCCTGCCGAGGGTCTTTGTAATGGTACAAGACTTATTTGTCGAAATTTTACAAGAAACATAATCGAAGCTGAGATTGCTGTTGGCGATAGAGCAGGTCTCATTGTTTTGATTCCTCGGATCATTTTGATCTCTTCAGATAATGCCAACTTGCCATTCACCCTCCGTCGACGTCAATTTCCAGTGCAACCTGCATTTGGAATGACTATAAACAAATCACAAGGCCAAACTCTTTCTTTTGCAGCCATTTGTCTGATCAAACCCGTTTTCACGCACGGTCAACTTTATGTTGCTTTATCACGGGTTCGTAACCCTGCTAATCTCAAAGTAATCTTACTGAAAGAGCCGCCATTATCAACACTCACAGACAACGTTGTATTTACAGAAGTATTAACTCGAACACAAAATTAAACATAAAATATTCATTATCAATAAAATCTATCTTTATCCCATTTATAAACATTGAGTGGCGTCGGTGGCCCGCTGCAGGCGCGAGATCGCCCCCAGCAGGAACGTAGGTTATTTTTACCGTAGCGAAGCGAAGGTCAAAAAATTACCGAAGTGGGCTGGGGCCGCGATCTCGTAAAAATATATAATTTTGTTACAAACATTACTGGTTTATTGTTGAGGAGGCATATTGTCATGAACCACGTGGTCAATACCTTAATGCATACGCGCATACATACACCCCCGCATAGATCCGCATCTATGTGCAGATCGTATTTGACAGCTCATGTGACCAAACCATCAGACACCACCATGAGCCCGATCACGAGTCATCACCATGGGACCACCCCTCAAGACCAAACCAACATCCGCCACCACCCTCGTCCCATGATCCCGCCACAGTACCTCGCCTCAAGACCTTCCCCAAGGCCTTAACTCCTGACCCTTCACGTTAAGAAGATAGTCCTTAAGACTATCTTTCTTTTATTATAAATACCTTAGATTATTTAGACAAGTACAGATCTTTATCTGATATCTCGTATAACTTATTATTATTATATAAACTTAGCTTTACTACCTTTTCTTGTCTGTCTTCCCGCAAAACCTTATAGCCTTACCTAGTACCTAGCCTTGCCTTGTAAGTATAAAGAGACCTGTCCGCGTGCCTAGTAACATCCGGCTAATTCCTGACACATATAGGGGTTGATGTTGTCCCTTCTAGTTTGACCATTCCGATAGGCGGTGCTGTTGACTGACTGACTAAAACTATATGGCCTAGCAGCAGGCGCATCGCTCGTCACATCGTTCGGCTCATCTTCTACTAATTCCAGAACAGGGTCATTCATCTCAATACACAGATTGTGTAAAATACAACAAGCTGTGATAATACCCACAATATCGCCGGTATCCTTGATGTATATATGTTTGCTGAGGAATCTCCAACGAGAAATCAATATACCAAAAGTTCTTTCAATGGCTATTCGAGTTGACGAATGGATCTTGTTGAACTTTTTTTTAGCCAAAGCATCATCAGATCTTCCAAGGACTTCCGAAGCAGGATAAGGCACAATTATATGGTGCGATAGTGGGTATGCCGAGTCTAAAACATATTTAGTTTTTTTCGAAGATTTTATTCACGCTTATATATTTTACCTGCAAGGATATACCTATTCAAAGGAAAGTATTCTTGGGGGTTTTCCAAGGCAACTGTTGCTATCTCGCTGAGATTGAAAGCAGCAGCATCGTTTGAACGACCTATGTCAAAACGATCAACATCATTGCATACAATCGGACAAATAAATTATTACCTGAATCACCAACCGAAATGTAAGTAAACTTACTCTCATCATCACATACTGCCGTACGTTTCATGGCAAAGTCTCCCTTACAATCCCTCCAATCCTCGGCATGTTCCGTTTTTGATTCAATCACAAAGTTCTTGCCGTCCAAAGCTCGAACAGCTGGTAGACCCCGAACAGTGCGGCCTATACCATTCTCAAAACCATGTTTGATTGCAGCGACACGCTGCTCGTCCTTGGGCCATTCGATAAGATGCTTGAATTTGTTAACAACGGCTTTTACAAAACGTTGCGTAAAGTTTCTGTAACTACCGTGAGAGACTCCTATAGTCAAGTGGGTGCAGCGATAGCCAACGTGACAGTTATCTAAGCGCCAAATTGCACATGAAATCTGGACGTATGGAGGGATAAAGTTTACATCTCTAGAATAAAAAGCGGGATCTCTGCATAGTTCGTTTAGAACCCTTTCGAACGTAGTGCGGTTCATACGGTACATGGCGCGATAGCTGGTTCGTGGATTGTCGTCATCAGTCAAAAAAGGGTGAGAGATGCGGAAGTAATGGTAGTTGGCGAATGAATGGCGATTGTTGACCGGCTCAGTTGGGTATGTTAAATGAGCTTGAATGAGAAAAGGCGTCAACTCAAAGAGACAGGGCGAATCTAGAAACGTGGTCCTATAATAAAGAAACATCTGTTCGTTCAATGCTATTTGACTCTCAATGAGCCGCTGGTATTCAACGAGAACTAAGTTGCGATGGTTGCAAATACGTTGGTAGTAGTAATATAATTTATCGTTGTAAGACATTTTTAGTATTTGTTATGAAAGAAAAGAATTCCCACACAAAATGAGTGATGTGATTTTAGTACTTTTTCGAGTTAAAATGATATTTTAATGTCAGAAAACATTTTTTAAAATTTGACCCCTCCATAGTGGTGGGGTCAAATATTTTTAATTAAAATCAAAATTTTAAAATTTCAAATAATTTGCTTGAGAACACCCCTAACCTTTCAGATGGGATATTAATTTTAAGGAAAATGTGTTTTACCCATCTAAATATTTGTCTCTGCTTAAATTTGTTTTAGGTACCACCTAAAAGCAGATGCACTCTAAGATACTATTTGAAAAAAGAAAAAGCCGTACTCGCTTAAAAGAATGATCATCTAAGTGGAACATTTAAAAGATATCAGGGATTTTTCGCTTTTAACCGGTGCATTGTACGGTCGCCTTGTAATTATCAACCGGCGATTTGACCGATCGGCTTTCAGTTTTCGACCGATAAGTTGACCGGTCGTGAGTCATTTTTTGACCGGTGGGTTGACCGGTCGATGTATACTGCTAAAACATGGCTGGAATGTTCGTTATTTCGAAATGTATTGCACTTTCACGAAAGTCACGATTGCAGAAAGTCAATTATTGTGCCCAAGACTTATTTGTATATTGAGCTGAAAATGTTATGGCTAGAAAAATAAACGCATTTCCAATTTTTTTTTACGCAATCTATGCCATAAACTGAATACAATCATATTTCTGATTGTTCTTCCGCCTAATCACGTGTGCAAGCAGTGTCCAAAAAGGCGAAATTTAATTATTTTGGTTGCTATGAATCTCCTGTGAAGGCTTTCCTAACATAATAATTGCCTGTGTTGAAGTTACCCAACTCCTTCTAAAGTATTTCCTTAAACGTGTCCAGTTTTTATTTTATTTTTTGTACGCATTGAAATCAACCTGACTAAATATTTCAAGACCATGTTTTATATACCAAATCATGCGATGCAAATCATGTCTCATGGAAAAAAATTAATATAACGTGCCCCTAAGCTTGAACAAGATAAACTTTTTAATCTTTTTTAGTTCCAGTTTTATACCCCAAAAATTGTTTTGCTACAAATTCCTGGCAGGCGAAAGGTTGTAGCAATGATTTGAAACATAATATAAAAACAGTTTACATATTTATTTATAAAAATGTTTTTGTGATAGTTATCAAAAATTATTACTGTTAAAATATTAAAGCGGAGTAAAATATGGGACGATTAAATTTATTATCGAAACAAAAACCAACTGACGGTGGGGTTAATAGTAATGGACCAAATATTAACGGTAATGCATACGAATTGATATTTTTGGTATAACTCAGTAATAAATAAATAACCAGAAAATAAGAGAAAGAGAGATTAGCGGCTGTTCGGGCAATTGGGCAATATGTAAGGTTACTGCACGGAACTGAATTATTGGAATTCAGGTCTGAGTGGTAATTGTGTATGTTTCTCAAAATTGAGGTGACTACTCTTCAATTGCATTGAAAAAAAATCAGAGCAGAACTATTGCCGCTTTTTTTTTTGCTCACTGTTTATATCTTGTAAAAAAAAAGGGAGAGTTATTTTCAATTTTTTTGTATATAGAGTCATCACCTGTATAAAAAGCAACAGTGAGACATACTTTCTAGGAGGGTTATCACTTGTATAAAAACAAGTTAGAATAATAATGTCAATATATATATGTTTCAGTGTGAGTGGGTGTGTGTGACAGAAAGGGTACATGTATAAACGATGTTTATGAATATTGTTAAGCTGTTCTTGTTTGTCTTGTTGGTGTGTCGGCAATGGTTGTTGTGACGAAAGAAAACTGAGTGTTTCTGTCTGTTCTTTTAGCTTTGGTTCCGTGCCATTTGCAGTTGGCTTGATTATCTGGGGAAAGAGTAACATTGTTAAGACACTGGTAGTAGTTCTTAAAGGATAAGATGGATATACGTTATTAACACTGATGTGAATAATAAAGTAGTTATGAAAGTGAGTACCCGACTGGAAGTAGTCAACTTAAGAAATCTTATAATATAAATGTTTTAGGATAAGAAGATAATCACCGATGATTTTAAGACGGCGTAACTAATATAAATATAAACTGATTGCCAAGATTAAAAAGAAAAGTATTTATGTTATTATAAACAATATGTTATATACGGTTTTAATAATAAAGAGAATCGAGTCGAGTGTGAAATATGAACTTTAAGTTAAATGTTTTATGAAAACTATAGACTTAAGATAAACAAGAAGTATGAAAGTTGAGGGAAACAGAAAGGAGCCAATTACACATTATTAAGAAACTAGATTTTTAGTCTAGATAAAACTGAAGAAGTATTTATTCAGAAAAAAGGGGGCGTATTTATAGGAAAGATCCTATCATGTGTAACAGCAAGTCAATTTAGATAAGCTGCAACAACATAGTCAAACATGGTGTCACAAAGCAATTGATGGAAGACTTCAGCTTCAGCCCGACAATTTTGTTCAACCAAAGAAAACAGGATAATAATGTAGGCGGTTCTTGAATACACAATAACCGCTACTCTGGAATTGTTTCGAATAATTTCGGCAATATGATTCAGGTTACTGGAAGCCACATTTGGAAGTACTTGATCAAAAGTATTATTCATTGTTGCTACACTTCTAGTCTGCTTGACATAGACTGGCATAGCCTATCACGAATAAAGGGATAATAAATAATCTGAAATATATAAAGATATGGGGGAGGATGGCATATACCTCTTACGAAAGCCTCGTTGAACAAGTGTCTATTCCTAAATGCTCTAAAGTAAATAAATTGTTATTGATTACATCCGGTATAAATACATTTGTGTTGCTATCAGGTTAAAAAAGTTTTGAGAAAATCAATTCATAAGAGAGACAGCTACCAACTCCGTAAGGCCTTCGGTAAAATCAAGTAAATCAATATTAACGTACTAGGCTTTAACGAAGCGTACATTGTTTGGACGTCTTCGTCTAGTGCTCCCAGATCAAAAAGACAAGTGTCATTTATTTCAAATTTCTGGTAGTTGATTGAATGCAATTAGTCATTACTGGTCGAATCATAATGTTGAACGCGTTCTGCAGCAGTACATGCAGTACGTGTACTGTTAATCTTTTTACTCTCCAAGGCTTTTCTTCATTCAGTCGTAAACAGGGTCAAGTACGTGTCATGCACCTCCCTGCAGTTCCATGTTGGGATTTCTTCGTTAGAGTAAAAAAGGTCTGCAGTGAATAAACAATGTGAATTCAAATTGCTATTTTGAAACATGAACTTCAAACAACCACGATAGTATTCAAATAAACGCGGTCGAGACACAAGTCCACACAAGAAGATTGACAAACAATCATACTTGGTAATAATACTCGGATATTCTAAGTGGATATCTACATGGAGCATGTTTACACCAGCAAGGAAGGCATCGATAGCGTAAAATGTGTGAGTCTCATAGTCGCAAATGATCTCTGTTGGATGGAATACGCGCACCGGCATCTCTCTTTCGTTTAATATTTCCCTCCGGTTTTTGGAATGAATAAAATATTTTGTTTTTATTAAGAAACAGTATATAACTCGTACTTGACGAGACGAGGAATGACGCCATTGAAATCCTGTGCTTGTCCCAAATGGAGAAATTTTTCTAATCTGGCAGGATACGGGAATTTACTAATATCTTGAAATATCTTTCTTGTACCGTTCCAAAAAAAAAAGTTGGATTTTTGATATTGTTATGCGACAAATCGAGCGCATTCCCAATTTTCTTTCTTTTTAAACACCTACTAAAGTGCAATACACCTTTTCGGGTTTGCACCTGTTAAAACTACTTTTTTTCCTCTTTTTGTTATCCTCAAATCTGTGACCTCTTAGTAGGCGCAATTAACTCAATCTCTTCTGTAAATTTCCCAATTTCTTTAATTTCAGTGACTGTATTATACGTCAATTACTATAAATAGCCATCCATAAGACCTCTCCTCAATAAAAATCCTCATCTATTATTTTACTAGTATTTCAACACTTTGACTTATTAGTTTTATATATTATTCAGCTCTATTATCATTCTGATTGATCCCTTGATTACATTTTTATCATTGTATCTTGTATTTATAAGCATATAAGCTATACTTAAATCCATTTATTTTCTAACAGTTCAGCTTCTGATTAAACTAGCTGTGGTGCTCACTCAACTCGCAATTATAAAAACCTTCTTTACTAAACTCTATTTTTTTAAAAGAAATACTTTTTATTCCACCAATACTACTCGCATACTCTTATTTCAATATAAAAGACCAAAAAAAATTACAATGTTGTAGCTCCCTGTACCAGATGTCAAAGCAGGAGTCGTAATGGGACAGTCATGCGTGAGGCGATCACTACCAGGATGAACTGAATATAATGGAATTTTAATTGTGTGATATGCTTGCATGGACAAGATGGCATACTCTCCTTCTCCATGGACTTGATCCAATGCCACGTATCTGCAACCACCGACGGACTTTATGAAACTAAACATATCGTGTCTATATCTTGCATGTGCTGGATGGACAACGTGATCAAATAGGCTCCACATTAATCTGGTTGTTGCCAGTAAAGCACCGTCTTCCATGTCATGGTCTGCGACCCATAATCCTGTGTACCCATCAAAGCCAATATTCATTGCGAGATCTAATACGACATTATCATTTGGGATGGTTTCCCAATCAATGTCTATAATGTTTTCTCGGACAATGGCACAAACATCCTCTCCATCTGAGCCGTGATATTTGATGCCTTGCTTAAAACCATAGCCATGAGAAAAGAAGAAGAATCCTTGGAACTGCTGCATATTTTCATTATGGATGATTTCTCTCATGATATCAACGATCTCTACTAGAAATGCCTCTGGAATAAACACACCAGAATAGGCGAATGTGCCTTGGGCCGTACGCTTTCTAAACATTTCGTCTCTTGCATTGACAGGGAACAAGTGCGGAGTATCCGTACCTTGTCGAAGAGCGGGGAGTAGGACATTGCTAACAAAGTTTTCTTTTGTTGCTTGATCAACCCTTAAATTTTGTTTGTTTCTGATATCACGAGGACCTCTCATTCTCGGAAAGAAGACGTACAACTAGATTTATCGTTAGGTTTTTTTTTTTTTTTTTTTTGGTTGCAAGTAAAAATAGGTATGGATAGATGCTTACGTTAAATCTGGAAGAATGACCAATTTTAGCAATACTAATGTTTTGGATTTTATTGCGAGTAGTACCAGGAAAGAAGGGAGATACCTTGGATGTAAATGTGTTGTAAGGGTCCAAGTTCAAACTGATGGAAGCACCAAAAACAGTGTGAGTATAGTCCGTCCATACGCCAATCATGGGAATGTCAACAGTGAAACCTGAATTTTTGTCCTGTCTTTGCAGCACATGATTTTGAAGTTGAGGAACAATGCCCACGTTCTGGGGATTACCCTCTGCATTTGTATGAACACCACACAATTTTAAATTAATGTAATCGTTCATTCTGTTGGTACGATGCAAGTGGTTGCTCATGTTATTAAATTCTTCGATATCAGCAATTATTTTATCTGTAGCAGCATCAGTAGCAGGCGCAGGAGTACGACGAGTAGGACGAGTAGCAGCAGGACGAGCAGGACTGGGACGAGTAGGACGGGTAGGGCGAGTAGCAGCAGGACGAACCGGCGGGGGACGAGTAGATCGAGTAGGACGAGCACGAGTAGGAGGAGAAGTAGCAGGATTGCCGGTATCTGCGACCCATAGACATGAACCATTTGTTTTTTAGAATCGTATATATCAAAAATAAAGATAGTAGTTACATTGTCGTTTAAAGAATCCTCTTCATTTGGGGGTTGTTGCTCATCTGGATACAGTTCTTCATACGTAATTGGTGCAAGAATTTCACGTACACGATTGTGGTCTATGGGACGAGCAGGAGTAGGACTGGAAATGGTCATATCCTCGAGCTATAGGCATGGACCATTTTTTTTTAGAATTGTATGTATAAAAAATGAATAATTATAGTACTTACATTGTCGTTTAAAGAATCTACTTCATTTGGGGGTTGTTGCTCATCTGGATACTGTTCTTCATAAGTGAATGGTGCAAGAATTCGACGTACACGATCGTGGTCTATAGACTGTGTTTAGATTGTGCTTTAATTTTATCGTCAGTTTGGATACTTACGGCTTTCTCGGTCTGTCATTTTATTTACTTCAAGAAAAAGAAAGGGGTACTTAAAGAGTGTTTATAATGAAGTAGAGGAAAGAAGAAAAAAAACATAGGTTCTATACCTTTACTGATGATGATACATTGGCAGCATGTCGGTTGTTACTGATTATGTCATTATCAATATGCCTAAAGAAAATTACAGGTTTTATTTGGGGGTACATAATATCTGTCACAGAGATAAAAAAAGATCCTACAAACAGCATGTACCTTGTGTAAGAGCGTAATATAACACCATGGTACTCATACGATTGTATAGTAAACAAGTATATAAAGATTTTTTTTTTGGAATTGATACAGTGGATTATACATCATTGTAAATATGAAGCCAGTGTCGACGCGTATTTTGCATACACACTGTTCCCACCTTTTTTTTTTTAAAAAAAAAATGGGGCGACAGGGCTGAGTATATGAATTACCAAAAGGAGATTATTTTTTAAAAATAAAAATAAAAAGTGTACTTTTCTCTCTTTTTTTCATTCGCTCATTCTTTTTATAAAAATAAAAAAAACTTTTAAAGAATACTACCCTGGATACTATTGACGTGTTTGTTGAAGACACGGTGTAAGCAGTGATTTTAGCTGTCAGTAACACAAGACGAGTTGGTTTTATTCAACAGCCTTGGTTTTTTTTTAAAAAAAAGAAAAGGGGCAAGTAGCAAGTTCCATGGTGGACAGGTAGAGTAATGAATGGTGCTATATACATGGATAGAAATGAATGAAAGAATGAATACACAATAAAGAGTTTAAACGAGCCACCAACAAGTGCAAGGAAGAATAAAGTCGATATCCGTGTTTGCGTGTGCCGAGTAGAGTATGACACTTGGGAATTGCCATTGCTAGTCAAGTGCTTTTGACGACACCATTTCAAGACCAATTGTAAATGTAGATAACGAGTCAGCATAAGTCGACAGGACTGGATAGCGGGGGATCATGATGGAATAACAAGTATGGACGAGAGAAAACGAGTAGACGATGGATAGATAAAACCCAGAGTTAGGGAGGAATAGAGTGTACCTGCATTTATGTGGATACCATAGGAAGGGAACAGGTAATGAACAAAAAAGTCATGGATAAATGGGATAGAAGTGTAACTACAAAACAAATGATTATTGGATGATGATAGTCAAAACAAGTGTATGGGTTTTTCTATTAATAAATCAATGTTTATAAAGAATATTGCGTTCGTTATTGTTGACTTTAGTAAAGACAAAGGCACTTTTTTTTTAATCCTTTATGAAACACGCCATCTCTTTTTCATATTAAAAATGTTTAATTCTTCCCGCTCAACTCTGGATTACTTTAGCACTATTGGTTTGACGAATACTGGTAACACCTGCTTTATGAATGCACCACTTCAGGTAAGCATGTCGATATATCCAACAATAGGCTAATAGTGTAGTGTTTGTTTTCTATTATACCATTACGAAAGGCCATCTTAAACAATACCTTGGTTTTGGAACCTGATAATAGCACAGTTGTGAAAAGATTGAACGATATTCCGGTTCCAATGAAGGAAATGTGGAAGGGCAAGGTTGGTAAGTAACACATCAATGAAAAAAAAAGGAGAAGAGAAGAATGACTCAATAAATGATATGACTAGTGGTGAGAGATCTTGTTGTAGTCTTTACTGGTATGAACAGTCGTCGTCGGGTGTTTACCCCTCCCCGAATGTTGGCTGCTAAACAGAATAACAGGTCTGGCCTAAATGCTTTTTTCACGCGAGCACAGTCTGTGATGGGAAACAGCCATCCTGGTACCGAAACACCCAATCCTACAACCCCTCCTCCTCCTCTTGACCAAATCATGGATGTTGACAATATCCAAAACGATGATGCTGCTGGTTAGTACGTATATGACAAAGTTTAAAAAAGATGAACTCATTGTTTGTTGGATATTCTGTCAGAATTTTTCAGATTCATTCTAGATTCCATCCAGGTAGCAGTGGTAGAAGCTGATCAGACTTTGGTGCCTTTCAAGTCGTCCTACATTGCAAACGAGGTTATTCCTGTAGAATATGAGGATGTAAACGTCATTGTAGATGATGTAGTTGGTAATAACTTTCCAGTCAATTTTTTCACTGGCCATGATATGACGAAGATGGGACCCATTGTTTGTTTCACTCCCACTGTAAGTGCATGTTGCGATTATTATTCTGCCTGTCTAAATTGACCCTCTAATTTTTTTGTGTGTTTTGTTTAGTACCGATATAGTGGCACACCCAGACTGAGAATGAACATTCCACCTAGTTCTGGTGGTGTAGTTGAACAACATTTATATCATTTGCATGCAGTTGTGATGTTTGTCTCCGAGGGACATTATATTTCATATATTCGTGACCATACAAACAGTCAATGGTGGGAGTATAATGATACTACTGTGCAAAAGGTGAACTCTCGAAAGATACGTGGAGTTATTAAACTGTTGATTTATATCCGTCGTCAACTGTTGAATAATTTTATTGCTGTAAATTATTAAAAATATGAAACTATACTTGTAACATTTAACTCCAACTTTATATTTCACCCTCGACTTGAATCTCTTTATCAAAACTATAAGATATTGTTTATAATGACATGATTACTTTTCTTTGTAACCTTGGGAATCTTGTTAAAGAAAATAACATTGATGAACGAAACAGATGTAGATATTTATTTTTATATATAGGAAAAAAAAAAAGAAGAGAAATAAAAGCAAAAAGAGAGCAAAGCAAAAAGAGAGAAAAGCAAAAAGAGAGAAAAGCAAAAAGAGAGAAAAGCAAAAGAGAGAAAAGCAAAAAGAGAAAAGTACAGAAGGAGAGAGAAGGAGAAAAGCGAAAAGAGAGAGTCATTGTCTGATGGATCTTGGTATGAGACGAAAGACGAGTTTGCTATTATCGATTTTGAATTTGCTATCTTCAGCAACGGACGGCATAATACGCAAGGTTGCAAAGAACCTTCTTTCCAGAACATCATGGAATGCTTTAGCCTCAGCCTCTCTCCCTACCATAAACATGTTTGCTATAAAATAAATGTAGGCATGTCGAATAAGGACATTACGTATGGTTCCAAAAGCAACCCCATCCACATACGTATCGGCAACGTCAACAATACGTAATGTGGGTACCGGGAACACGAAACGAAAGTAATTACGACATGTGTCCACGGTCGAACGGCGGAGGGTCACTATTGGTTGATTTGCACTGTTTATGGTAGCCTTGTTGAAGATGCTTGAAGTGTTTTCGAAATCACGCAAAACTACACGATCCACCTCCATATAGTTTTTAGACGTTTTTAGTACTGCCCAAATGTCTCTGACATAATACTCCACCACTCGTGTTGCCAGATCCTCGTCCACAGCTTCGGCATTGAAGAACATGTCAACAAGTTCCACAAGCTCGTTCGTCATGTTTTGGTAATATTCAGGTTCATATCGCAGACCAGCTGGAATTTCAGGAAGAGTGGGTCGAACAGGACGAGCAGGAACAGGACGAGTTTGACGACGAGGAGTGGGAGTAGGAGACGCAGGACGAGTAGGAGAAGCAGGACGAGTAGGAGGAGGAGGACGAGTAGGAGGAGCGGAGCAGGACGAGTAGATGGAGCAGGACGAGTAGGTGGAGTAGGACGAGTAGGAGGAGCAGGACGAGTAGGTGGAGGAGGAGTGGCAGTGGCAGTAGGAGCAGGTGTAGGTGTAGGTGTGGTGGGTGGAGCAGGAGTGGAAGATCTTGATACTCGACGAGGAGTAGCAGAGCCAGGAGCAAAGGTGGGTCGAGGAATACTCGTAGCACGGGGAGTAGGTGTACGAGAAGTAGGAATAGCAGGAGAGGGTCTTGGTTGAGCAGTAGGTGTTGTTTGTCTTTCACTTGACGATGATTCCAGCTCATATATATCATCATCCACAGCCGTGTCAGAAAGTGATTGTGAATCAGCTTCATCATCGGCTTCAGGTGATTGTTGTTCGAGTTCAGGTTCATCTGGTGCTACGGGAGATGGTGGGGCGGCGGTGGTGGTAAGAGGTGGAGTTGATGGGGCAGTGGTGGTAGTGGTAGGAGGAGGAGGAGGTGGTGGTGCTGGTGTAGCTGAAGAAGTGGGTTGTTGTTGAGTATGAAGAGAATTATAATCAACAGCTTCAGCGGTGAGAGGTCTTGTCCAAGTCGTTACGTTGGTGGAGCAATTGTAATACACCTCATGGTTGTGCGCAACAGACCAAGTAACCTCCCAGTGAGGTGGTAAACCTCGTTCCAACAAATTCATCACGTCACGAATGGTGACTCCTCCATTACCACCTGGAGATGTTGGCTCCTCTGAACCCCTGGTACGACTTGTTTGGAGGAATGCCTGGATGACAGAACCAGCAAACACACCAGCGTAAAAAGTTCGGTAACATAAGGCATCAGTGTCTTCAAAATTCTCTTCCAACAACGCAAGGTTGTTACGAACCACCTGCTCGTTAGTTGATTGACGAAATTGCCCGATGTTTGCTATTCAATGATTGTGTCAACATGATAAAATCATTCAATGTCTTTATATTTTTTTACTTACCAAGGATGGTTCTTACCATATTTCGGGGAATGATGATATCAGGGAATTGAGATTGGAGAGAAACTAATTTTTTCAAAGAAGATTTAACGTTAGCTTTTTTTTTGATGTGTTGAATGTATAGTACACTATCTTACTATCGTAAGTAGAAATGATTATGGTTTTAGTTGGTTGTTGTTGGTTTTTGTTGGTTTTTTTTTTAAGAAAAGGAAAATAAGTATCAGGTTGAAAGAGGAATAGGACAGAATAAATCGTGTGAGTACTTATATCATTGCAAACGAGTTTTATCAAGTCAAAACATTTAACAATAAGTCAAGATTTTGTCCTGTTGTGGGGCAATTTACTTGACAATGAGTCAAAGCATGAATTAAATTAATAACAAAATAAATTTCCTTTTTTATCAGTACTAGGTGAAATGCATGAATCGTCCATTACGACTTTTACTACGGCTACATAATTCTATATTTGGGATCGTATGTTATTCATTACAGACAACAAATAAATGATCACCTATTATGTTCTAATGCCAATTACACTTGACAAACAAGTATGCATCTTTTACAGTAACCATTGCATGATCTGATAAATAAGTGTCTCCTAATACTAAATATCTATTAGAATACTCATGCTCCCAATCCACTGATATGGGACAACGTTAACTGGAAACAATTCTAAAAAGTAGTATTCATTTAACCCAAGGCGTAAAACAAACTATAGATCTATTCCAAAACCAGAAAGGTTGACTCATCATTAAAACTCGGGAGAGTTGTGCAATATAAAAATGATTCATTATTTTATAGCAGCAACATTCTTTTAAGTCTATTTTTACCTCTAATAAAGATATAGTTGTATCTGTGTATTTCTCAAGTGTATTATTTTTGTCAAATACCAAATATACATTGACTATTTAAATGATGTCGTATGATTACATAAATCATTATACAGGAAAAAAAGGGGGTTTTGAAGGGGGGCGAGATACTACATACGTGATATTGTGTACAATCAGGGATACCCCCACTTAAAAAGTTGATTGTCTGTGCAAATCCTCAAATAAAGAAATTGTCGGTAAAGACCCAAATATAGCAAAAGACCGCTTCCTCAACCCTACTGTGCACGTCTTTAAATTACTCCTTACGCAATTGCAAAATACAAGTGGGAGACACTTTGACTGTTGGATTTGGGGTTGGTAATGGTAATAGAGTTGGGGAGGTGTCACTCTTCACAAGTTGCTTTCATTTCCTTTTTTTTTTTTTACTAGTGTTCATGACTTGTTTCAGTGTTGTTCTTGGAGAATGGGTGTGCCATGACTAACGAGTATTTTGCAAGAGTGCCACTACTTTATGACGGTTGTTGACTTGATTCTACTTTTCATTTGTTTATACAATGTCAATGTGAAGGTGTCTTTGAACAAGAAAAAAAAAAGATAATCATAAAGTGGGGTTACCACCAAAAAAAAAAACCAGTTCCCCTGATATATTTAAAAAAAGGCACTCGATGTGTACCAAAAAAAAAATGCACACCAAGATCGACGCTGTGGGCTTGATGATTGGAGAAAAAAAAAGTGTTTATACTTTCTCCTGAACGTATCGTAAAGATAAATCATGCAAAATGCCTATATTGAAAACTAATGTGATTCATTGTTTTACAATCGGTATAAAAGCAATGGAATTGGATTACCTTTATTCCGTTCTTTATTATTATCCTTTAATAAATCCTATTTCCTTTTACAAAAAACTCAATTCAATAAAATGCCATTCAACAGTGGTAAGACCATTTTTTTTAATTGGAAAGAATGAAATATGTGTCCTAATTTCATTCCTCTTTTTTTTTTCCCCCGTAGCTATTCCTACCAACTCTTCTTCCAGCAAGAAAGCTCATGCAGGATCATCAACCAAAAAGGTCAAGTCAACCACGAGCAAGAAGGTCATGTTTGAAAAGCCTGAATTCAAGGTTGACAACATGCCCTCCATCTCCATGTCCAATTCGCCCACCAACATACCTCTGCCAACAACATCACCTATGCCAACAACATCACCTATGCCAACAAATTTATCTATGCCACCTATGCCCCATGCCACCACAATGTCTGTCCTTTCTGATGATGATGACGCTATGGATATATGCGATGAGCATTCTATGAAAAGAACTATGCCTATGCCAGAGTCACCAGCTGCCAAAAGACAAAGGCCAACCATGACAACACCACCTGCCGATATTGTTTTCGGAAAGGCTTTGTATCGAAGCCTTAATCAAGGCATGGTGGCTCGTTTGGATGCTTTGCGTGCTGTGTTTCCTTTGAACGAACAAGCACCCATCCTTGTTTTACGTTATTACGTATCTGACATTTGGTCCATGTTGCAGTCCAGCAGCAAGTACGTCCCCGTGGATCTGGTGGAAATGTCTGATTTCGAAGACGCCTTTTCCATTTTGAAATTGGCTGAAAGAGATGACAGCGGTCAGGTTCGGGTAAAGATCCAAAATGTTCAGGTTGATACCGGCTTCCAGTACTTTTGCTTGGTCTTTCCTGTTCCTGACGACCGACCTTTGGCATTGGCTCATGCCATAGTGAATGGCAGAGTCCAAAATCCATTCAAAAAGGTTGGTATCAGGCGGGAATATGTGTATTATATGGCCAGCGTGATGATGGATGGCCGAGGTAAGGAGGCTACTGACTTTCATCAATTACTCCAGCGGGCCATTTTTGATACTTTTCGTATCATCCCATAGATTGGAGCTGATGGTAAATTTGTTGTAGTGAAAGGCAAGCTGCTCTTTGCCCTTATTCTTTCAGGTTGTCTGGAATAGTTTTTTTTTATAATAAACAATCTCTTTTTCTTTTATAAATAATAAAGAAGAAACATTTCTTTTTTTAAATGATACTCAGGTGAGTATTTAATAAAGTCTTAAAAAAAATCTTTTCTTTTTCTTTTCATAAACCTACAGCCCACTACACATTACTACGGATAGCTGGCTGTTTAAGCTGTAAAGCAGCTCGTTAGAACAGCTGATTTATAAATACATTGAATCATTTCAGCGATGCATCAGTTACGACCCAAATAAATAGACATACAGACTTTACGACTTGTTGCTTGAAAATAAAAAAAAAGGGTACATCATCACGCTGTATTGGACAAGTGACGAGTCTTTAAACACTGGGTTATAAGATTAGTCCTTTTACATTGTTGTTGTTATGATCGTGCCACGTAGATGCATTAATTTTGGTATTTCTTTGTCGGCACCTTGTCATCTACGTGTCAGCCATCAATCATCAAGTCTGTCATAAATAAGTAATGACTTATTAAACTTTGTCATTGTTTATTTTTATGCTAAATAATCATGCACTATTTTCATAAATTATTTGGACACTCGTGGAAAAAAATTGCTCACTTTTTTCAATCTCAGCACACTTTTTTATTTTTTTTTGCTCACTTCCAGGAATTGTTTTTGCACAGTGTGTACGAATTATTTTAGAGTGGATTTTCATTTTAACAAGTTTCGAACTTGGACTCACAATACCGGCAAATACCTTTGAAGTCGCTTATCACGACATTTTCGCATGCTTCAGTGATTCTGATGTTCAAAGTTTCGGCCTCCAACAGTTTTTCATGTTTCAATCTACTGTTAACAACAAACCATTACTGCTCAATAGGGTTTAATTCAGGGCAATAAGGTGGTAGATACAAACACCCTTACCCACAATTTTCGAGAAACTTTTTAATATTATCTGAGGTATGTACGGGCGCATTATCCATGATAATGTAATGCCCTTTGAATTCCTCATGACTATCCATCACATCGATAGTGCTGGCAATAAAATTGAAGTAATGTCTCGTAACAGTACCAATACTTTTCTGCATTTTACTTCCAACCGTCTTTCGTTTCTTAGAAGCTGCAGAATAGGGTAGCCTTATCCTAACATTGACAATGCCATACGGGGATATAGCACCGGATATTATCGAAGTCTTCGCTCGTGTCAGGTGATGGATAATTTCAACTCGAGTGCCTTTTTCGGACCAGGCAATTGTTCGCTACAGATTGACGTGAAAGGCGGACTCGTCGATGAAAACACAATTAATATTGTAATCCATGTCGGTTTGAATCCATCTTGCAACCCAGTCAAATCTTTTCTCAATGCTTACGGGCGAGTTTCTTTGTTTTAAATGAAATTGTGCTTTTTTAAATGACAAGGCACACTTCTCTGTCATGAAGTTCTAAACGGTTGTTTTGGTTAATTTCAATTCACTGAACTGGCTGGTAAGACTTTCTATTGCACGATCCAAAGTTGCAAAAGGGTGATCGATAAACGTTTCTTTCAAATGCTTTTTATGGTCTTCATTCAATAAACCAGGTCTAACAACGTTCGTTTCGGTTTTTTTAGTCTCGAATCCATCCTGCGTTTCAACAATCAAGTATTGGTTTTTTTCAACCAGTCCTAGGCGCTTCTACGGCCAGTATATAGCTGCTTTCCGGCTTTACCTGTAGTAAGGTCTTCTCCATAAACAACATAGAAAAAAATGTCCGTTGACATCGTCTCCATGTTTCTTATAATAAGAAACTGGTCCTGATGCAGCAGTAGAAACCATCTTATTGGTTTTAATTGAGGCTTCGGGCTTTTTGGGTGGTTTAAATTCCATGTAGCTATCGAAGGCAACAGTGTCAACGAGTGGGTAACCGTCCACGTCTACTTCCATTTCAACCGGATCATTTCCATGTTCATCTATAGCGTTTCCGTGTCCCTCTTCCATAAAAATACGAAGGTTCATTGGTTATATCTTTGTTTTCGAAATTTGTGCGAAATGTAAAAGTTAAAGTGGGGAATTTGTTTTTCAAAAGTGAGCAAAAAATAATTTATGAACTGAGCAAAAAAAAATAAAAAAGTCTGCGGAAATTGAAAAAAAAAGTGAGTGATTTTTTTCTTAGAGTGTGCGAATCATCTATGAAAATAATGTATCAATTACGGGGAACATTGATCAGATTTGAGGGATTTTTTGCTGGCGACCGGTATAGTGAATGTTCGTTTTCTAATTGTCGACCGGTCGGTTGATTGGTCGTCATTTAAATGTTGACCGGCAGGTGGGCTGGTCGTTATTTAGTTTTCGACCGGCAGGTTGACCGGTCGCTGCATAATTACCGAAACATAAGTGAAGTGCTCGTTATTTTGAAGTTATATTGGACTTTTACAACATAAGCGATAGCTGAAAAAGTTTTATCGTATACAAGACTCACTAGTAATATGAGATTAATATTTCAGCTCGAAGAAAAAAGGAGTTTCCATTTTTTTCGCATACAATTTTGGACACGAACTGAATATCATCATATACCCTGATTGTTTTCATTACTCATTGAATTAAACCTCACAAAAAACTTCCGGATCATACCTCACTTACAAACTCTTGCGATACATATTTTGTCGCACTGGCAAAAAATATGATGTTAAGCCAGGTTCTTATTTAAATCTTCCGTGCCACGTAAAAAAAAAAAAAAAAAAAAAAAAAAAAGAAACTGCGTTGTTTTATAAAAAGAGAGTATGGGGAATTACTAAAAAAACTATTATTTACCTAATCCTCTTCATCGTCAATATGAACGTCACGAGTCGCCCGTTCATCCTCGTTATAATCATTATCCTAACTCTCCGAACTCATTATCTTTCCCATCTTCTCAGTCTATAGGCCAGCTATCTAATTAAATGAAACGCTTAGCGAAACCAAATAACTGTACTTTCGCTGGGGTTTTTTTATTCGGAACAAACTTTCCCAAAAAGCCAATTATGGATAGAAACGTATGTGATAATTGAGAAATAAAAAGGGAAAAGTAATTGGGAAAATAAAGCAAGTAAAGAAATGAGACTCTATAATCCTTTATTATAAGTTGGAGAGTTTGTCATGATAAAAATAGAGGTCCTTTTTATATTCAATTATTACTTCAATATTTTTCTTGCGCAGATGGAATTGACTATTTACCCGCAAACTGGGAAATGGTAGAATTAGATTTAGAGATCAGTTACATATGAAACATAGCTTATTGTTATATACAAGGAGCAAGTTGACCCATATCCGGTACTTCTAGAGCATTATAGTTTATCCATTCAATGACAGGGACCTTGATTGGATTACTAAAATAAATTTATAAGAAGCTAGAAGATTCGGCAGCCACTCGACCAATCAAGGAACGATTATGAAATCTGATCTCAGTTTGACATATGAGGGAGCTGGTACTGTGTCGTACCAATAGGAATGTATTCGCAATATGGTACTTATAATACATAGGTTATATGTAATATAATTGAGTGACAAGATAAAAGTAATTATGTTCGTGGAATTAGGCGTCAAATACGACAACGTAGGGCGCTACAAACGGTCTTTCCGCCGCAGGTGGTAGCAAAAATAGCCCTAACTTACGAGATTGAGATTACGGCTTTTTTCGTAAATTGCCGTGTTTTAAAATATTACAGAGACCATGGTGGCAATGGAATGATAAAGTCGGAAATTAAAATTAGTAGTTCTGTTTAAGACACTAAGTGCCCAGACACAAAACCTTGTGATTGAATCAGAGCATTTGAATACCTGGAGCAGCTACCTCAGGTCTTTGTTAAACTTTACAAAAACCAACTGTGTAATTCACCGAAACAAGCAGATGTTTTGCTAACGTCAGAGAAAAAACGTTTGTAAACAAGCCGTTGCTTCCTATTAACATTTGTATAATGGATTCAAAGATGGAGCCAATTACGTGTTTGAAATGTTTAGCCTGTGCCAAAAGTACCTTATTTTTTTCAAAACAATTAAGTTCGTGTTGTCGTATTTGGGTACGATTCGCTTAAGATTAACTAAGCAAATCGTTTAAATAAATAAACTATAAAATTAAAACAACCTTTGATGTTGCATATCAGCATACGCTTGTATACTGCTATACAACTTCTCCTACTTCGCGTACATACTTCTATATAAAAGATTGCATGATTGGCCTAAATACGATATACGAATGACAGTTGGATACAGAATGCTATACCACTGAGTTACGATATTACCAATCGAGAAGAGAAACTTCTCAGATCAATCAAGAATTATAAGAAAGAGACACTTAATATTAATAGTTCTCTCAATGGATTAGCTACCCAGAGAGAGAATAGAGCAGCTATTAATATAAATGGTTCATTTACTTATATATTGATATAATTATGCTGCTGATAAAGAGTATAAAGGAATGGTGTATGAATTAATAGATACCTAGCTTCTACAACCAAATATACAAATATTGATAATACATTTTATATTTGGGATCGTAATTTATTCAATACAAAGATAATGAATAAATGATCAACTATTCTGTTCTATTGCCAATTACACTTGACAAACAAGTATGCATCTTTTACAATAACCGTTGCATGATCTGATAAATAAGTGTCTCGTAATACTAAAGATTTATTAGAATACTCATGCTCCCGATCCACTGATATGGGACAACGTTATCTGGAAACAATTCTAACGAGTAGTATCCATTTAACTCAAGGTGGGAAACAAAGTATAGATCTATTCCAAAACCAGAAAGGTTGACTCATCATTAAAACTCAGGAGAGTTGCGCAATATAAAAAGGATCAATTATTTCATAGCAGCAGAGTTCTTTCAGTCTATTTTTACCCCTAATAAAGATAAACGTTTATCTCATTACTTTTCTATGTAATATTTTGTCAAATACCACACTTTCTACAAAATATAAGTGACGAAAAGAT